TTTTCTTGTTTCATCTTATCTATTTTATTGTATTATATTGCATTTATTGTATTGTATTGTATTGTATTGTATTGTATTGTATTTTATTGTATCGTCGGCTATGCGAGGTATAAGGAAATAATCCACCTGACAGTCGTTCGCATTTAAATCGTTTGGTAATTAATCGCATCGATTTAACAATCTTCTTTGACGTCAAGAAAAAACGAAGAGGCTAACAAGTCCGCAAGAAATCCTGGAAAACACGTTTCGAAAAAATGGCCGAACGAAGCTCAGAATTGTCATAAAAACTGTTACAAGAATTGTCATAAAGGCAGATTCCCGGCGACGCGGGAGAAACGCGTTTCGGAGAACGGAAGTTCCAGGACTGTTTCGAGAAGAGCACGCGTCAGGCCCGGCTAATCGCCGGTTCTCGTAACAATGCGTCGATCGACTGTAAAAAGAACAAGAGGCGAGGGAACAAGGAGACCGAATCTATAAATGTTTACGGCGGATCGATAGGTTGCTGGTAGAGGAACGCGAGCCGCGGTTAGAACGACGCCGAGCGCGGCGCGGCGCGGTGCGGCGTTCGTGCTCGTCGGTCGTCTCGGTCCATTGTGTCGGCGCGCGGCCGGTTTCGACGCAATTCGTGACGGCGCCGGCCGTCACGGTTGCTCCGTGACGGCCGCGAATACGTCAACGGGTTCGGGCCGGCCGTTGGCCAAACATCGGGAACCGCCCGTGAAAATTATTATCGGCCCGTGTTACCGGCGCTTTAACACTTTGCGGTTCTCTCTCGAGCACTGCGACGTCGCGTCGTCGCCCGTTCGTTCGATACATCCGGGGGTCACCGGCGACCCGTGCACCGTTCTACGCCGAATCGAAGCCACGCGCTCGTACCAGGAATCGAAAGTCATCTTCGAAGAAGAACGACGTTGCGATCTCTATGTACATTTGTTTAACGCTGTCTAGAATTGGCCAGACATCTCGTCTGGTTTCGTGCTGCGTTCGACTGCGACGCTGTCGTTTTGTTATTGGAAGAACGATAGAGCAGATATTTTTACAGTACATAATTAGGGTGTCCCGTAAGTTCTTTCCTTTTCTCGGATGCGAAATGATTACACGATATTTGTTGTTCAAGGTTGATTTATCGAGTTATATATGAATCATTCTGCTCTATTATCTTCTTTCATCTTTCAGGAAGCCTCGTTACGCCGTCTTTCCAAGATTCTTGAGGCTTATTTGCAAAATATCGATCAAGGTGCGTTTTTATTTCGCTTACGAATTTAAACCGTATTTCGCGGAGAGAATTTTTTAACGAGAAGAACAAGCAATAATCGGATGGTGCAATGTCTGGGGAGTACGGAGGACGAGGTAGAACGTCCCGATCAAACTGCAATAATTTTTGTCTTACGACCAACGGAACACGCGGTTTTGCGTTGTCGCGATGACAAAACGACGCCGCGTCGGTTCGCCAATTCTGGCCGTTTCTCTGCCATGGCGGCTTTCAATTCATCGAGTTGATTACAATATTTAGCCGAATCGATCGTTTCACCTCGAGGAAGGAGCTCGTAGTAGACTACACCTTTCCAGTACCATCAAATGCGCAAAAAAAACTTTCTTCGGATGAAGTTCTGGCCTCCGCAACGATCGAGGGACTATCGACGGTGCGGAACTTCGAATCGATTCACATATCGCAACTCGATTAAACGCTTATGTACCGTTGTCCCGAGTATGTTAGTGGCATCCGTTATCTCGCGCACACTACAGTAACGTCTCCCCAATCGACGCTCAGATTCTGCAGAAAAATGGACAATTTGAGAAGGGGAGATACGATTGTTCGAGCCTTGCAGCTTGTTTTTATAATCGTTGACAATCGATAACCATAAAAAAAGAAGCCACAAGGCTCGAACAATCGTATCTCCTCTTCCAAAATTGACCACTTTTGTGAACAATCCGAGCGTCAATTAGAGAGACATTACCGTATATCGCGGATTTTCAGCGAGCATATCTTTGATAAGGTCCGCATCCGTCGTTGTTGGACGGCCGCTGCGGTCTTCATCTTTCGAATCGTAATTGCCAGCTCTAAATCTCTTAAACCAATCGCGGACTGTCCTAATAGTCGTAGAACCATCGCCGTAAACGGTACAAATCCCGTTTGCAGCGTCCTTTGCCCTATCACTTTTTTTTAAAGCAATGAAGCATAACACGCCGCAAACGCTTCTTTCGGCTATCCATATCGAACGGCGTAGAAAAAATTGTATAAGGAACTTTGTCACCAACGAAACGTACTCTAAAAGAGTACTCTGGGACGACTGCAACCGATTTCCTAAACAGCCAAGAGATAAGCCTGCGTGTTTATAGAAATACAGCCAGTTAGAGTCATTCGTAGCGCGGCGCGGAAAGAACTTATGGGACAGCCTAATATTACCTATTCGATGTATGTACCGTTGAACAATAAATACGTTAGCGCTGCTGTAACTTCGACCGAATTCTTCTTCCGTTCGTCATCGTTGATTAAGCATCGAGGAAGATTAATCGCCGGCGTTCCGTCTTGCTATATTACCGGCGGCTCTGCCGCGGTAGGTTCAACGTTTAAACTCTATCCGAACCTTTGACTTTTGGCCGCCGATCAAACACAGTTACCAGAAATTACACGGGAGAACAAAGAAAAAATGCACAGGCTCGAGCAAGCGAGCCCGTTTCAGCGTAACAGAGAACATCGGCGCGGGCGCGCGCGCGCGGTATCCGAAGCCCGGCGTCCTCCTCGCTCCTAAAAGCATGATTAATCGCGTGGGCGATGAGCCTAGCCTACGAATTAACCCCCAAATGAATCAACGGGCAGGAATGTATTAATGCGCCGTGTCGAATTCGCCGGTTTCGTCACGGAATTTAAACGAGCTGTCGTGTCTCGGTGCCGTTTCCTCTCGCGACGCCGCGGCAGATGCACAATTTCTTCCCGAGAGCGCGACGACAACGTTGAAACGTTTCCGCCCCGGTTCCTCCGAATTGGCCGGCCCCTAATCATTCTCGCGGCCCGCGCAATTACAGCGGAAACACGCTTCCGGAAGCGTGGCGTCGTTGTTTCGTCGGTCCGCGAAAGCCGAATCAATTCCAAAATTGGCGCGATCCCGGCGATCAATCGGCTCTCTCTCCCTCTCTCTCTCTCTCTCTACGTCGCGCGGCAGTCACGCGGGCCTTCTGTATCCATTACGCGGCGGAGCGACGTAATTCGTGGAACGATACGTCGTATCGACGCCTGGCACCGTTCGCAATCGGTCGCCACCGCCCACGGAAAATCCGGCGTCCATTAACACCGCGCGGAACGTTCGCGTTCGGCGCTGTTCCACGCTTCCGCCCCGAGTGATTCCCGATATTCATTGCCGCGCTAAACGGACCAGCGACGCAAACCGGCGAGAATCAGCGTGTCATCGTAGCCGCGAACAACGAACCGCGAAACATCCCGCGTTCTCTGATCGATTCGCGAGCGCGTTTGTTCTTCTCGAGAAAGCGAGGACTCGCGATCCTAATCGCGCCGAACTTTTCGAACGCGAACGCCCGCTTGTCTCCTGCGTCCTGCAGGATTCGATGCGGAAAGTTTGTCTCTCGCATACGCGAATTGCTGTTGAGAGAAGTACATTAGACTGTCCCATAAGTTCTTTTCGCGCCGCGCTACGAATGACTCTAACTGCTGTGTTTATATAAACACGCAGGCTTATCTCTTGGCTGTTTAGGGTATCGGTTTCAGTCGTCCCAGAGAACTCTTTTGGAGTACGTTTCGTTGGTGACAAAGTTCCTTATACAATTTTTTCTACGCCGTTCGATATGGATAGTCGAAAGAAGCGTCTGCGGCGTGTTATGCTTCGATGCTTTAAAAAAAAGTGATAGGGCAAAGGACGCTGCAAACGGGATTTGTACCGTTTACGGCGATGGTTCTACGACTATTAGGACAGTCCGCGATTGGTTTAAGAGATTTAGAGCTGGCAATTACGATTCGAAAGATGAAGACCGCAGCGGCCGTCCGACAACGACGGATGCGGACCTTGTCAAAGATATGCTCGCTGAAAATCCGCGATATACGGTAATGTCTCTCTAATTGACGCTCGGATTGTCCACAAAAATGGACAATTTTGGAAGAGGAGATACGATTGTTCGAGCCTTGTGGCTTGTTTTTTTATGGTTATCGATTGTCAACGATTATAAAAACAAGCTGCAAGGCTCGAACAATCGTATCTCCCCTTCTCAAATTGTCCATTTTTCTGCAGAATCTGAGCGTCGATTGGGGAGACGTTACTGTAGTGTGCGCGAGATAACGGATGCCACTAACATACTCGGGACAACGGTACATAAGCGTTTAATCGAGTTGCGATATGTGAATCGATTCGAAGTTCCGCACCGTCGATAGTCCTTCGATTGCTGCGAAGGCCAGAACTTCATCCGAAGAAAGTTTTTTTTACGCACATGGTGGAACTGGAAATGTGTGGTCTACTACGAGCTCCTTCCTCGAGGTGAAACGATCGATTCGGCTAAATATTGTAATCAACTCGATGAATTGAAAGCCGCCATGGCAGAGAAACGGCCAGAATTGGCGAACCGACGCGGCGTCGTTTTGTCATCGCGACAACGCAAAACCGCGTGTTCCGTTGATCGTAAGACAAAAATTATTGCAGTTTGATCGGAACGTTCTACCTCGTCCTCCGTACTCCCCAGACATTGCACCGTCCGATTATTGCTTGTTGTTCTCGTTAAAAAATTCTCTCCGCGAAAAACGGTTTAAATTCGTAAGCGAAATAAAAACGCACCTTGATCGATATTTTGCAAATAAGCCTCAAGAATCTTGGAAAGACGGCGTAACGAGGCTTCCTGAAAGATGAAAGAAGATAATAGAGCAGAACGATTCATATATAACTCGATAAATCAACCTGGAACAACAAACATCGTGTAATCATTTCGCATCTGAAAAAAGGAAAGAACTTATAGAACATCCTAACATTTTCTTTACAGCCAGGTTTATGCTTTCCAAGCTAGCCCTAGATCGCTCGAAGAAACGAGAGTTGGACACGAATTATATTCCACTGTTTACACTGTTCGACAAATTCGGAGCGATCCAACGACGACTATCTTGGATTCTTTCGATCCGCTCATCGTTTCTCAGTTTCGTCGCTATGTAACGTATGTATAAACGAAATTCCGATCAACAGCGGATCGAGATCGTTGGGCTGGATCTCGATGCGCGCGTTTTCTCGCGCGCGAATCGGTTCTGACTTCGCGCGAAGACGCGCGACGAGTTCCTCGGCGCGGTGTCGGCGCGTCCGGCCGCGGATAAGTGAAATCGCTGAGTTAGCTTCGAACCAGCGGCTAACTACGTTTCGCGCGTTTCTCGACAGCGACGAACCGAGGAGAACGCGGAAACCGCGCGCAGGAAAGGACGTCTCGGTGCGCGGCCGGCCGGCTCGCTGTTGTAGGCGGTTCATAGAAGCCGTCGCGCGCGACGGACGAATGCGTCGGCGAACTGACGCCGTCTGACCGGCTAGCCGCCGGTGAAAATTCTTATCTGACCCCTCTTCGATACAATTTTCGTGATTATCGATCCGTCCCCTGTTAAACCTCGCGATAGATATCGACGGCTCGCCGCTCGTCGATCTAGCCGCTTTCGTTATCTGCTCCTCTGCCGGCGATATTGGCCTACTGGAAACGGGATGATACCGTTCCGAAAACTTTCCCTTCTTCCGTTCTCGATGGTTTGGTGCATCCTTTGCAATCGTTCTCGAGGCTAAAGCTACCGAGAAACTGAAAAACTTGGCGAGGTTTTGACAATATTAATTGAATTTATTTTTATATGCGCTCGTGATTTTTATCATAACGTGTACTAGAATTTAGAAATTAAAACTTCGCAATCGAAGCTATTTTAATTCGAAATCCAAAAGATGTTCTCTGATCTACAGTAATTCTATTTTATGATTTATTACGATTTATGAACATTCAGCCTATTGGTAAGTACAATAGTTGCGATTTTAACAGTTTAAAAAAAATATAAACGAATCTAATACTGTTACAATCATTTTGAAAAATAGTATAACAATTTTTAGTGGCGCCTCAGTGTCGCCACTAGAGTGCAAAGGGTTAACCCCTTGACATATTACATATTAACCCTTGACAATTTAACCTTAACATACCATTTTCTTCGCAATTACTGCGATTAGAAATTCTTCGATTGCAATCATTTTTCAGAAGGGAGAGAAATGCGATGCTTATTGTGTGCCGAAATTTACCCCGATACTTAAATATCGATGACAACAGATCCGAATTTGATTCCAAGTTTAAAGGACAGAATAACATCTACAGGGTGTCCCAAAAATGTCTCGCAATCCGAAAGTGGCGGGTTCCTCAGGTGATTTGAAGCAACTTTTTCCTTTACAAAAATGTTCTCCGATGCACCGTTAACGAGTTATTAACGGAAAACAGTGACCAATGAGAGGCGAGCTCAGCTGGCGCGAGGCGACCGAGCTAATGAGTGGAACTGGGCTTCGTGCGCCGGTTGGCTGGGCCGCCTCGCGTCAGCCGTACTCGATTCTTATTGGTCACTGTTTTTCGTTAATAACTCGTTAACGGTGCCTCGGAGAAAATTTTTGTGCAGGAGAAAGTTGCTTCAAATGATCCGAGGAACCCGCCATTTCCGGATTGCGAGATATTTTTGCGACACCCAGTTTACTCAATAAGTTATTACCAGAAATTTTCATGACGAGTCGGACTCGTCAAAGTACGGCAAAAGGTTAATTCGATCGTTTCTTCAGAAAGAATCTCTCTGCAATTTCGATAATTTAAATAATGAAGATATTGGTTACTTCGACCTACCATTTAGCGTTAATTGGCAATCGTACGCGAACACGTTCGGTTCGTTCACCGGCGAATTTGGCGATCTTCGGGGTCAACGTTTCCCCTTCCATTATTTCTCCGCCTTGAAAATCGCGTTCTAGATCGAACACGTGGTTTCACCGCGGAAAGCGGAATCGCGCGAAGCCGCTGGTAGAAGGAACAGAAGTCGAATCACAATGCGCTTCGTCCAATTCCCAAGTCAAACATGATGTAACCGCATCCGCGAGTTCTTCTAATGCCTATGTATACCGTTCTGTATTTGATCCATTCATTTCCGTCACAAATATGTACCGAATCCGCGGTGTGTACATGATCGTTCCGAAAGAATAACCGACCGCCGGTTTGTTCGCTAGAAATTATGATCATTTACGTTGGCAGACAAGCGGAGGCCAGTTGCGCTTATCGAGTGGAAGCTTGTCAATACGCTTATCGCCGGGTATCTGAAATTTCTTCGCCCGTCGATTCCAGCGTAATCGAACGTTACACGGAACTTCGCGTTACACATGTTTACTATTTTTATTATTANTGTCCCAAAAATGTCTCGCAATCCGAAAGTGGCGGGTTCCTCAGGTGATTTGAAGCAACTTTTTCCTTTACAAAAATGTTCTCCGATGCACCGTTAACGAGTTATTAACGGAAAACAGTGACCAATGAGAGGCGAGCTCAGCTGGCGCGAGGCGACCGAGCTAATGAGTGGAACTGGGCTTCGTGCGCCGGTTGGCTGGGCCGCCTCGCGTCAGCCGTACTCGATTCTTATTGGTCACTGTTTTTCGTTAATAACTCGTTAACGGTGCCTCGGAGAAAATTTTTGTGCAGGAGAAAGTTGCTTCAAATGATCCGAGGAACCCGCCATTTCCGGATTGCGAGATATTTTTGCGACACCCAGTTTACTCAATAAGTTATTACCAGAAATTTTCATGACGAGTCGGACTCGTCAAAGTACGGCAAAAGGTTAATTCGATCGTTTCTTCAGAAAGAATCTCTCTGCAATTTCGATAATTTAAATAATGAAGATATTGGTTACTTCGACCTACCATTTAGCGTTAATTGGCAATCGTACGCGAACACGTTCGGTTCGTTCACCGGCGAATTTGGCGATCTTCGGGGTCAACGTTTCCCCTTCCATTATTTCTCCGCCTTGAAAATCGCGTTCTAGATCGAACACGTGGTTTCACCGCGGAAAGCGGAATCGCGCGAAGCCGCTGGTAGAAGGAACAGAAGTCGAATCACAATGCGCTTCGTCCAATTCCCAAGTCAAACATGATGTAACCGCATCCGCGAGTTCTTCTAATGCCTATGTATACCGTTCTGTATTTGATCCATTCATTTCCGTCACAAATATGTACCGAATCCGCGGTGTGTACATGATCGTTCCGAAAGAATAACCGACCGCCGGTTTGTTCGCTAGAAATTATGATCATTTACGTTGGCAGACAAGCGGAGGCCAGTTGCGCTTATCGAGTGGAAGCTTGTCAATACGCTTATCGCCGGGTATCTGAAATTTCTTCGCCCGTCGATTCCAGCGTAATCGAACGTTACACGGAACTTCGCGTTACACATGTTTACTATTTTTATTATTATTTTATTTATATCCGCGCGACGGATAGCTGTAACATCGAGTCGTCGCGATAGCGAGGATAAATAAAAGTTCGAGCAGCAGATGTAAACATCGACTCGCAAAGGAGATCTGGTTATTCAAAGTTCGAGTTGCAGCGGTCAAAGAATGGTATTCGAACTTCTGGAAAATGTAATTCCGAGGTCAAGGAAGTTTCATTTCGGTTTATACAAGGTTTTCAGAACAAATAGAAAGGCGAACGAGCGAAACGTTCGCTTTGTATAGGTCTTCCGGCTGAAGCGGTTCGAGTTGTCGGCGCTCGATTGTACACAGAAGTTTGCGTTTTACACTTGTTTCTTTTTATTATTATTTTATTTATATCCGCGCGACAGATAGCTGTTACATCGAGTCGTCGCGATAGCGAGGATAAATAAAAGTTCGAGCAGCAGATGTAAACATCGACTCGCAAAGGAGATCTGGCTATTCGAAGTTCGAGTTGCAGCGGTCAAAGAATGGTATTCGAACTTCTGGAAAATGTAATTCCGAGGTCAAGGAAGTTTCATTTCGGTTTATACAAGATTGTCAGAACAAATAGAAAGGCGAACGAGCGAAACGTTCGCTTTGTACAGGTCTTCCGGTTGAAGCGGTTCGAGTTGTCGGCGCTCGATTATACACAGAAAGTTCGCGTATCAGAAATTCGTCCGCGAACTTAGAGGCGCACCGCGCGCTCGATAAAAATACCATTAAAATAAATTAGTTAGCCGCGTTACCCGTACCGCTCGATACTTATTTATTCCGCCGACGGACAATTTCGCCGGAATCGCGGCCCGCGAAATGGCCGCGGCGCGGCGTCGTCTCGGCGGCCGTGGCGACGGCGCGTTATTTTTCACGGTTTCACGGCCGAATGTATTTCGCTCCGATCGGATTTAAGCTCGATCAAGTAACGCGAAATGAAATTGCGCCACCCACAAAGAGCGGCGCGGCGGAAAGATGATGCCCCCGGGCCGATCGGTCGACGCGGCGGAGTTACCCTGCCGTAACCAACAGCGTTTTCACGTTTTTTTTTGTTTTATCTTCGCCTGACGAGAACTGACGCAAAATATAAACAGCTGCGCGCGAGCGACGTGCGATCGGGCCACGGTTAAATCACAATTTTCGGGTCCATCTGCGCGAAGCTCTACTCGCCGCGCGAAGCTCTACTCGCCGCGCGAAGCTATTCGACGCGCGAGACTACTCGCTACGCGAGGACCCTCGCCGCGCGCAGCTACTTGCCGCGCGAAGCTCTACTTGCCGCGCGCAGCTCTACTTGCCGCGCGCAGCTACTCGCCGCGCGAGAGTAGCGAGAGTAGGCAAATAGCTTCGCGCGTCGAGGGCCCTCGCGCGGCGAGTAGCTTCGTGCGGCGAGTAGCCTGAGGGCCTGAGCATCCATTTTCATTTTGCGCCGGTTCTCGCCGAACATGCCACAGTCCCCGGAGTGGCCGGATTTCGCTGGCCCGCTGCGAGATTGTTAATTAATCCCGAAACTATTTCTGCCGTTCGACTTTGCCGCGCTCGGGAATCGATTTCGAATTCAAAGTGCCGCGCCGGCGAGGATAACGCAAAATCATAACAAACGAGATTGCCGCGGTATTGCCACTGTCGCTCGACACGCTACCACCAGTTGCGCAAATTGAACTACACGATGGCTCGTTCCGATAGAATAGACATCGTCATCTTGATCCACTGGATTCCAGGGAAGTGCGAGATAGAACGATTAAAGTTTCCGTAAAAAAAGTGGCCTGTTTCGGTATGGGAAGCTTGGCAGTTAACTACTTGCACCGCGATTTCTTTTACGGTTGCACTGATTCGATTTTCTTCGTAGTTCATAATTTGTTGGAAGAAGAGAAAACAGAAGAAGAAAATAAAATATTGAGTCGTAATAAAAATTTATGTTGTTGCTGTAACAGTTTAAATGTCTGATTATTCTGTTACGACGATCTTTTAAGACGATTAAAGAATATTTTTACATTATTTTCAGCTTGGCAAAATTATTGAAAGAAGAGATACATTCTTATTTGTCTTCTGGTTTTTGCAGTTGACGGGGAAACGTTTCGTTTTGCGTAAAAAGAAATCTTTCTTTGAAGAGGACGCACAGTGGAAGGGATCCACGGAAACACGAACTAAATTAACTTAACCAACTAAATTAACGAACTTATTGTTATGTTTACCTCTTTCATTGTAAGTAGCAAAATTACAACAAAATTATTCTAACAAAATTACAATTTAACACTAGATTTACAGAACTCGTCAAAATCACGTGAAAATCACGTCAAAATGAAAATGGAAATGAAGTTTCTTAATTTACGATTATTCATATCGCGAAGTTATTTATTCAACTTATATGTTACTTACGGCAGATGTTAACACTTGTTCAAAATCCGTAAAAATGTCTTATCGTTCCCTTTATAAACTCACATAAAACAGCTGTTTTTTCTACTCCGTAAATCTAGCGTCAAATAGCCAACCACTACTTTCAATCACGCGACGAGTATACTCGTCACGGCAAAACAATCCTGTCGCATCTCTACGACGAGTACAGTAATGTCTCCCTTATTGACGCTCAGATTGTCCACTAAATTGGATAATTTGGAAAGAGGAGATACGATTATTCGAGCCTTGCGGCTCGTTTTTATAATTGTGGACAATTTATAACTATAAAAATAAACCGCAAGGCGGACGAAGAAAAACGCTCTTTCAACCGTTGACCCCTTCTTCACTTGATATAATAACCTGTTGTTGACCTGAAACTGTTTCACGGTTAACCTCGAATATTCTCACTTTGCATAAGTATCAACTTATTAACATGTATAACATGTAACAACTTATGTCTCGATTTCTGAAATCTTTTGGGTTGTCGCAAAAATAATCTCGGTTCTCCAAATACAGTAAATTCTCCCTGATTGACGCTCAGATCGTGCACAAAAATGGACAATTTCGGAATAGGAGACACTATTATTCGAGCCTTGCGGCCTAGCGACTCCACTTTTTACTTCAAACGGCTCAGATATTGCGTTACAATTTTGTTTTTTATCATGACGTTACTATAACGCAACTATAAAAATTATTTTTAATAACATTCTTAATTTCTTTTAATATTTTCACCGTTTCATAAATTATGCCCACTCATTCCTGCTATAAATGCATAAAATACGCCGCCTACTTATTACAGAATACAGTAAATACAGTAAAGTCTCCCTAATCGACGCTCAGTTTATGCACAAAAATGGACAATTCGGGAAGAGCAGATACGATTGTTCGAGCCTTGCGGCTTGTTTTTATAATCGTGGACAATTTATAATTATAAAAATAAACCGCAAGGCTCGAATAATCGTATCTCCTCTTCCCAAATTGTCCATTTTCGTGCGCAATCCGAGCGTCAATTAGAGAGACATTACCGTACACCCGTCGGACACAGCGAACCGGTGAAACGGAATCTCGTGGACGTTTATCAATCCGTTTCCAACACCACACGCCCGAGAATAAATAGTCCAACAATGATCCCGGAACGTCGCGACGTTCGAATGGGTCGACGCCGGCGTCGCGCCGCCGCCGCGTCCTAACTTCGCCGAACTGCATGGCATAGTTGGATTAGAACGTCAGCCCCGGTAACTAGGTGACGTACCCAGAATGCACATAGAGCCGGAGTCCCGCGTATTAGATGGACGTGTTTGCTCGTTGCACGCCAAAGATCTCCCCACCAGGCCAGGTGAACAACGTCGGTCCTTGTATCTGGCATCGGCTGCCGAACGGCGTGAGTGTACCGGCGAGCGGGCCGCTATATTTACCTTCGGAAAAGTCGCTTTGCCAAGTCGAGTAAGGTGTCGCGAGTACAGTAGCCGGTGCACCGGGAGCGCCGGATAAATCCGGTTCGACGCCAGAAGACGACACGGCATAAACATAGACGAGACAAACGTCGAAAAGCGTTCCTCACACCGGCCGAATGACCGAGATCGCGGGCTACCGGCGTCTACGAGCGCGACAACTGTTCGCCCATCCGCTCCAACACGCTCCAATACGCTCCGAACATCTTCCATTTATTCTTGGCGCCTCGGCGCTGCGATGGTATTTATCCGCGATCCCCAAATTATATCGCGAGAAGCTCCTAGACGCGTTAATCGAACGCGAGCGTAAAGGGCGCTTCGTCTTCGCCTACTCTAACTCATGCTAACTCGCAGCTACCGAGCTCCTAGATCAGCAATTCGGTAGATTAGCATTGTAATGGCGCAGGTCACATTTTCCCAGTTCCCGTTCCTGCGTTGTTTATTGAACAAATCGATCGTTAAGACGATTTCGAGTTCATTCTTAAAGCAACTTCACAATTTATTTGCAATTCTGCGCACAGTATCCGGGCCAAAGGTCGGGTGTCGACTCCGGACCAATCTTCTCGGATGTCCTGTTCAACTTCGCCACGTAATCCCACCTTTAATCGTCGTTCTCTCGTTCCTCGTCCTTAAATTCCAGGTGAAATCTTCGCGCGAGAAGCAGAAACCGTGCGCGCGCCGCGGAGAACCTGGCGTCTTCGCGACGTTTCGTTGCTCGAACTTCGTCGTTCTCCTTCGTTTCATCTTGGCAGTCTCGCCATCTTATGCCGCTGGTTTCATTAATTTGGGTCTCCCGAAGACGCCGATCGGTCTCCCGATCGAGGAACGATCGTTTCGACGCGTCGTTCGCCCGTTTTCCGTTCGTCTCGCGAAGCTGCGCAGCTTCGAGCCTTGTTTTTCATTCAGAGGAACTTGTCTCTCGTCGTCGAATCGACGATGAACAACGAACGCGGCGAATAGAATGAATAGTTATGGGACAACAGAAGTGGAACATCGTTTCCTGGCTCAAGGAGAGCCGTGAATGCGAAAGGGTGAAGCGTCGTCCCGGGATCTCTCGCGCTATTATCATCGAAGAACTTCGCTGGCTCGGGGAGCGAAACGCGTACGAACGGGTGAAGCATCGTCGCAGGATCTCTCGCATTGCTATTACGAGGAGGTTAAGGGCGTGGACGCGAAGGTTGGACGGGATATAGGTCGAACAGCGTGTCCCTGGTGGCCCAGAAACGGCCCGAGCCGGCCCGGATCAATCGGGCACCGAGGATTCGGCGAGAATTTTTTTCTCCGTTGCCGCGGTTCGTGTGAATGGGACTTAACGCATTCGTCAGCCCGTCAACCAGTGGGGGGAAAAAGAGTAAAGATAGTATCACGGGTACATCTCTCGAGTTAGTCTCGCGGTGCTAAGAGAGTTAGGTCGGTTATTTCCGTCATCTGTCGCGGGGTTCACGACCTGCGGCCCGAACGACGCGTCCTGACGTAATACGCCAGGTGAACGAGCGGCCTGGAAAAACGGATGCGGAATCGGAGGTCCCGATCTTGCCGGGATAACGTCATAGGTCCTTGCCGAAAGGTCAACCGCGCGATCTCGAAAACGTGGCTCGCCTTACCACGGTTCTCACTCGCGTCGCGAGCAACTGTTTGCACAGATTTTTAGCGGGCAGGTGGCAACGCCGGTTTCAGGTGTCTTTGGCGCGTAAACGTTTCGTCTGTTGATCTTGCAAATGATCTTGCGTGGTAGTCGAGAAACAGATTCTCAAGAACCGTTTCATCTGTTACCGTTTCACGCGTCGTCGATTTGTGCGAACCTCGATTTTAGAAATCGCGAACAATCGTCTCCTCTTTCGAACGTGGATTTGATCCAAGAGAGATTGCAAGATCACGGTTTCCTTTTTCTATTAACACTAAACCTACCGCCGTCGAAGTGACCGCTTTCTTATTTTGCAATTCTGCAAAGTTCCGAGACTCTTTCGTGGAAAACGCTCGAATAAGCTATATTATTGGAGCAAGTTTTATAATAAAAACTTTACAAATTCCAAATAAATTCGGTCTTCTCACTTCTGTGAAGCAGTGCATGCCAGTTAGTATTACTGCTTGGTAAGTTTAGTGTTAACCCTTAGCGCTTCGCGCGTTTCTCGAGTACTGCCTACCAGCAATCCCGGCACATTTTTCGAGCGGAGCGCCCGAGATCAAGGAAGTCTTATTTCGAGCGGAAAAGATTACACGTCCTTGCGAATGCATTTGATTTTATTTCTTTTATAAATATACATTTTCCTATTGTAAATAAAAGATAGATTTTAAATTTTGTAATTCACCATGGTGCGATATCTTTGGTAACAATCTCCCATGTGCATTCTGGGTTTACTTCATTCTGGGTTTACTTGGTCACTTTGCCAAATAGAGTTACTAGATATTTCTTTCAAGTTTAGAACATTTTCTGCGTAATCGTTGGTTACCTTTATAATTTCATTTATCGATTCGTCCGTGAAAAATAATTTAAAATATTGTATCGGCTGTTCAATGTTTGCAGGAACTTGTGGTCCAATGACCCGTGGCAATACACTAAAAGGTATTCTATCTAGAATATGTAATTCTTCCGTAACATCACGACATTCGTCTAAGTCTTGTAACGAATCTTCGCTTTCGCTTTCAATAATTCTCATTCTTCGTCTCTTTGGTAGTATAATTTCGCTACTGCTACTCGAAGCGTCAGAATCATAACCAACATTGCATTCCACAATGTCTTTTAACTCTTCAAAATCAAATACGTCTTCGGTATCGCTCGGCTCTAAATTCTCATCGTAATATTTATTTTTCCCCATGTTGCTAACCATAGAAAAGGTTAAAAAATGGTTCAATCGTAATGGTACAGACTTATATATATATATGTATATAGCACGTTTTAACTATACAGATAACAATTGCTAACGCCGACGTATGCATAACGTATGCTGAAAACATTTGGCTCCGCAGCAGAGCCTTCGGAGTTACAAAACAAATGACAAACGTCTCCATAGAGGAGCCTTCGCAGCGCTAAGGGTTAACTAATGCCGATGTTAATTAATTAAAATTAATTATTGCGCGCGCTGTGTCGAATGTCACATGCCACGATATACGAAATGATCACAGATAAGACAATGGTACCTGAAAATTGTTTCTTGTCACTGGACAATATCTGTCGCGAGATCGAAATGTTTCGGCTCGAAAGACATGTGAAACTGTCTTGGCCACCAGCGCGATAAAAATCTGCACACATCGACGCCGATAAGGCGGATATTTCGTAGCCAAATTTCAGCAAACAATATCGAGAGGATCTTGCGACATCGAATCCACTGCGCTGCCGAAAAAAGAACCAAACGGTTAGAAGTTGCACAGAAATCTCGTCCGTGCGCGCAACGCGT